CCCCAAAGTGATGGAGAAAACGTTTGGGTTTGCCTTGAACTTGCAGTCACTGCAGTGGAAAGCTGCTCTGCACAGAGGGGCTGCAGTCCTGTGAGCCCTGGGTACCAGGAACAGGCCCCTGGGTGTGCCTGAGGGGGAAGAGCACACAGGAACATTGTGACCAGATGGAGTCTTGTGTTCATAATAACACTGTCAGCTTCAAGTACCACAAGTCATAGTTCACAGCCCTCAAAATGCAGATTCACATTGTTAAGTAAACAATGTTTAATCCTCTAATTTAACATTAGATTTCTTTTTTTGTTTTTCTAATTTGCTGTTGAACTTCACCTCCAAATGTGCATAGCAACTCTCCCAGGTTTATTGAGACACTCAGTATTCACCATATCAAAATCTACAATATCAGTTCTAATTCTAATGCCGGTTCTCCCCTTTCTCAGTTCTTTCCCCCACCACACACACATCATGTGGACAGACTGATCTCCTCTCTGCACAGGTCTGCCACATCTGCTCGTTTCCATCCACCAGGCTGAACTGTCTCTGCCAGGAAGGGTGCAACCACTGCTCCAGAGGCACACAAAGAAGCTGCCAGAGATAAATGGCTTTGTGAACAGAGGCTTTGCTGATAGACTTCAGGTCTTTAGAGCACCCTGGTGTCATTCGAAGCCAAGGTCACGAGTTTGTATTGCTTCCCATACCACTGGAGGATGCAGAATTTGATTTCTTGGAAAGCTGGCAGAACAAGGAGTCGCCATGTTTCTGATTACAGGGTAGAAACCTCCTGCTATGCTGACAGGTGAAATGTGTGAGCTCAGCTCAACTCAGCTGGTGCTCAGCAAGGCAAAGCCCCCTGACTACCCCACAAAATCCATCCAGCATTTGGGTTTCATCCACCCACCATAGGGATGAGGGGTATTTGAGAGAAGATTTTGTTCCAGCAGACTGAGTAAATGAGTAAATTGCTGTAGGTTAGGAAATCCAGACGTGGTGGAGGACGGCACAAACCTACAGAACCACAGGGGTGTAGAGGGGTAGTGGCTCTGCTGCCCTTGATAGAAAAGGGTGTAGTGAAAGAGTTGGAGGGGGGTCAGGCCCTATGTCATGTGCCAGAGGCTATATAGCCACAAAGGAGAAGAGAAGGAAAGAATTCAGTGAAATTCTGTGGGTTAATGATGAAGGGAAGGACAGGGCTGTGGAAGAAATGGACCCATATGGCAAACTGAAGTCCAAATTTCTGGCAAGATATAGTTCAGAGCTCCTGCCACCACAAAATGTGCTCACCATGGATACAGGCTGACAGTGTGCCCTTGAGTTCAGGACAGCCATGCACCTCTCCCCAGCATGGAACTTGGGAACAGCAGGATAGACTCACCTGGGGGTGGGCTCAGCCTTTGGGATGTAGGTGTAATTCAGTGGGCTCTGTTGCCACTGGGTCTTTTGGGCCAGTTTTACTCTGCATGAATGTTATGGCTTTTCCCTGACTGCAATGATGTCACTCTGCTGCCTGCACTTTCCAGCATGCTCTGTGCTCGTAGCCAGCTCAGGCACTGCCCTGCCCTTCAGCAACACCTGTGTTTTCACACTGTATGAACCAATGGCCATATATTTATAAGGCTCACAATTCTGTCCCCTCTTTTGTAATTTAGGAGCGCTCCATAGGGTGCCTCTGAAAGGTGAAGGGCAACACACTGCTACATGTTTAAAAAAAAAAATCCATTGTCACTTCTGCACTTCGTGTCCTGTGAAGCTTAAGATGTATTTGGAGAAAGAGTCAGAAACAAATTTCTGAGCAGCCAACAGATTTCATCTGACAGTTGCTGCATATAGCATTTTTTTCTGACCCACTCATCTGCTGTGCCAGAGGTCACTGCCTTTCTACAAAGATAGGCTCTGGCAGATCTTTCCACTGCTTTAATATAACTCTTGGGGAGGTTAAGATGTTAGACACTGGCTAGGCTTTGGCACCTCTGCTAAAACTATGTTCTGCACTGTCATTTAGTAGAAGAGCAAACCTTAGGGATTACAGGGAAATTCTGTTGACATATCCTGAAAGTAAATGGAAATATTGCCGTGTTTGAGCCATGTGTATCTTGAAGTGTTTCAGAAAAACAACAGCAGCCCTTCAAGAGCCCTGCAAGCCTTCCAGCACTGAAAACCTGGCATGCCTCTTTGTCCTCTGGGAATTTAATAAAGATGTATAATAGCACAGACCACCCCAGACTGTTTCAATCTTCCCTTCAATCTCAAAGACTGAACTCTTGTATGTTTAATTTAAAGGTATTTGTCCCATGAGCAAAATCTGCTGCCAGAAGCATTAGTGGTTTTTCAAAGGATGTTCCTTAAATATGAATGAGCTGAGCCCCTGTGATCATTTTAATTGATCCAGCAGTGCTTGCAGCTAAAAGTAAAGCTGCCACCTTTCATGGCAGACCAGACCTTTTCCCCTGCTGCCTAATATTTGTATTCCTGACATTTTACAAAAATAGTCAGTCTTGCTCAGCCTGGGAGATTTCTATAAATTCATGATCACAGCAGTTAACTTGATTCTGTCAAAACTGGTATATAGGCTGTAAGATATTGCTGCATAGAAAAATGAGAATTTTTTCTTTTAAAGATGGTGAGTGATTTTGAATAAATAAAATGTCATTGATGCCAAAACACTTATGGGCATTATACCACCAGGACAGGCAGCAATGATGGAGAGATAAACCATCCAGGCTCTTTTAGGTTCCTTGTCCTAGTATCTAAAAGCTGACCAAGTATGAACTGACTTTTTAAGCTTGTGCAGGGAAATACAGTCCTGAACACTGTTAGACTTCAGTTTCACCTACAGACTCTCCACGAATAAATTATTGGAGTTTTGAGTCAAGCTGGCAGACATCAGGGGCTAAGTTTTAAATCTTTGCAAGAGCACTTTAGAAAGAGGATGCCCATATTTCCATGAACAGCTGCATTGGTTCCCAAATACATGCAGAGTGTCCCTATGGTCATAGAATGGGTAACTTCTTTTGTCCACAACACATTCGGCTGAAGAACAAATCTCTTTATATACAACTTTATATATATTATATAAATATATATATATTTATATATTTATATTGTCTCTTTAATTACAGCTTCTAAAAAGCACGAAGACCAAAACCTAGAATCCCACTGTTATCCATTGAGAAGTCATAAAGGGAGCTCTGGGAAAGGGCTGCCAATAGGAATGGGAAAAGATCGTTCATTCTTTGTGCCCATCTGTGCTTTAAATATTCTAACAGGCCATGGGATGCAGTGGAAATGTTTCAAATATGTCTACATCTCTACTAAGAAGCCAAAAGGCAAAAAGAAACTTATTTCACAGAGAGCACCAAACAACCCTGAAAACAATTTTCTGTCATTTTAGGTCATGACTGTGCTCAAACTTGTGGTGTAGAGGTTTCTCCTCCAGGTGGAGTCATGCAGTCAGATATGGCTTTGAAAATACAAAAAGCATGATCAGGAATTATATGACAGTGTGAAATTTCAAGATATCCCACAGAGTCACAGAATCACAGAATATGCTGAGTTGGAAGGGACCCACAAGGACTGCTGAGTCCAACTCTGTCCCTGCATTAGACTGTTTCCAAGAATCACGACAAGAGCCTGAGGGCATTGTCCAAACACTTCTTGAACCCTGTCAGGCTTGGTGCTGTGACACTTCCCTGGGGAGCCTGTAACACCGCCCAACCAGCCTCTGGGTGAAGAAAGTTTTTCTGATATCTAGCTTAAATTTCCCTGAGACTTCAGGTCATTCCCTTTGGTCCTAGAACTGGCCACCACAAGAAAGAGATCCTTCCTCTGCCCCTCCTTTGTGCATCCCATGAATTTAATAACTGATGATCTTATTTTCAGGTACTTCCACGCCTCACATGAGCAACTCCATCCAGTGTGTGGGAAAAGAGAACAGTAACAAAGGAAAAAAGTGCTAAAAAGGAACAAATATTAAGGCTTGCTTACTCTTGGTTTCTAGCTTCAACAACAGAAGCAATTAAAGTGCATCAATCAGGTCTTTTTTTTTCTGTGATAGTGATGTTCTCTAGTGTTTTTAACAGCCTGCAAATTCCTATGACTATAATCAGCCTGATCCCACTGTGCTCCCTGTCAGATACCACAATGGCTATAATCTGGCACCTGCTTGGTACAAAACTTGGAAGCGAGCCTGGGTGCCCACAGAATAAAAATTAAGCATGTTCACTGCCGAGGGAGAGGATCAGAGGGAATTTAGGAACATTGGTGACAGCCTTTATTCTTCTCTCTCAGCAAGAGAGTTCTGGCTACAACAGGTCAGAAAACACTGCTATTGTTCTGCCTTAAACCTCCCTTTTCCAGATGCAGAATTTCGCTTTCAGAAGGAGCCAGTGTGGGGAAGTGTTTGCAATAATATCAGCTACCCTACATCTGTCTCTTCTGGACTGCCCAGCATGCCCCATTGTCAGGCTGTTCAGAAACCAACAAATTTTCTTGCCTTGACCAGCTGTCAAATCCTCTTCCTCATGCCTGACTTACAGAGATGCATCACCTACAAAAGCAATGGGTTTAGATAACCTATGCTTTTTCATCCTTCCAAATTCACTTTTTTTCTGCAGTGCAGAATCCAGTGGATCCCATTGATAGGGAGGTGTCTTAAGCAGATTTGTCTGTCTCTGATGCTGATTTGTCTGTCTCTGATAATGATTGTTCTCCCCAGTAAATTGTTGTGGTATCTCCAATAGAGACATCTCTGCAGCTGTACAGAAATCTCTCACTGGCTTAGTGAAGTACAGCGACTTATATTACAACTTTATTCACATAAGAAAGCATTTACTCATGATCTGCATTCACTTTGAAATTCCTTATTGGAATGGGAAACTGTTAAACAGCAATCTTCATTGCTGTCCAGTTAAACATAAACAGACCCATGAACTGGATTCTTGTACACAGTGTACAAGCTTTAATTAATGAAAACTGAAAGGAAAGGAAAGTGATTTGTAACACTAAGTCTGCACATTCCTGCAAATGCTGCTGTTGCCACTTTGTGAGACACAGAGACGCTTGAACAGCTTGGATGCTCTGGTTTGTCTGGGAAGAGCCTAGCATGCTGTGGGCTGTCTTGCAAAGAGATAATAGTAACAACAGGGACTGACATCTTCATAGTCAGAGATGCAATGAGAAGTCAGGAGTTACTGGCTCCCAGTGGTGGGCCTGACTTACCTCTCCTTTCACAGAGCCCAGAATTGTCAGGACCTAAAAAATGGAACAGCCCAGATGGGCTGCATCAGCCTCTCACCTGCACCTAGCTTCCAAAAATGAGGTGTCCATGCTACCAGGTAAGGTTCATTTTATATTGAGTGAAGAGAAGGGTCATATGCTTCCCAGATCACATCCAGCATCATTCTGAGAGATATTAGGGATGAGTACAAGAACAGCTTTGCAGGTTTTTTAACACTGCCTTTCTTGACACAGGGATGTTAATTTATCATTGGTCATAGTGAGAGTGCAAACAGGGACAGTATGTACTAAAAGCTACCTGGATTTGTGTAGCAACATACAAAAAAAAAAATTCAGGGCTGCATGTTTCTATCATGTTTACATAACATGGTTGATAAAGGAAAAAAATTCTTACAATTAAAAAGGATAATTATGACAAAGCTTTATAAGATACAGACAGGTAGTGAACAGTGAATTAGCATTGAATGTTAGTGCACAGGAAAAGGCAGAAACTAATGAAGGCCTGTCTGTGGTCACAATCCAAAGCGATTTGCCTTTTTCATTCTGGGAAAGCAATTCTGTGGCTTATTTTTTGACAGTATCCTTTCTTTTACTCCAAAAAGGACAGCTGAAGAAAATCATAGTGAAACAATATGAAAGGTTGCTCAGATTTAATCTAATGCTGTCTAGCAGGCAGAGGTATAAGTACTGACAGAAGCAGCAGCATTGTTTAAGCCAGGCTGAACAAAGCAGTGTGTGTCCTTGGTGTGTTTGGAGCGGGGGCTTTTCCAGCTCTGCCTCCCCAGCACAAACTGCAGCCTGCAGCTGTGATTTCTCAGTGTAGGGAAAGAGAGCAGCTCCATGGAGAGCCAGTAAATGCCAGCCCAGCTTGCAGGCTGCCAGCAAATGGACACACACCCAGGGCTGTGTCAGGGCTGTGCCTGGATCTCTGGCACCCCACAGAGGCACATGGATCCGGGAAAGGAGATGCCAGCGCCTGCTCTGTGGCAGCTCAGTAGATGATTCCTTCTGGTTCCAGCAGCAAGTACTTCTTCATGGACAGAGGAATGGACAGCAAGGGGACTTGTCGATGGCACCTTTCTGATAATATTGCCCGAATTGCACATCTGCATAAGTGCATCAGTGACCGTGGTGAATTGCTGCACACAGTGAACAAAGAGTCATAGAAATCCTGGTGCCGCTGTAAAAAAAACAACCACAAGTGTGTTTTAGGGCAGCCAGAATATTTGGAGTAAGGATTTTTGAATTAAAGGTATAATTATGTCAAAGCATATAATTTGTCCCACAGTTTTGCCTTTTGACCACATTTTTTCCTCTTTAATCTCTTACTTTTCATTTAAATTCTCCCTTGCATTTGCAGCTAACTCATCCTGTTCACAGAAGTCTGATCCATGAAACAGAACTTAGATGTACATAGTAATACCTTTCTAATATGGCACCTTAAAAATATTTGCTGACTTGAAAAAAAATATAGATATACATATTGACAAATCTGAAGAAACAACAGTCACAGCCAGAATCTTTTCACTGGCTGACTAGAGGGACAGCTGAGTTCCTGCTGTAGCACTCACAGAGGGTGCTCCAAAGGATAATGTTGCAATTAAAATATCAAAAATGCATCTTTTTTTCAGTGAGTGATATGCTTTTGTCAAATGAGAGATATTAAGAGGGAAAGCCCCCATCCTCTGAAATGTTCTTCTCTTTCAAAACTGTTCTTTCTTTCTTGTGGTTTGGTATGGGTTATACAAATAATAAGCCTGGATTTTACTCAGTTGTAACTCATTGAGAGCTTACCTCCAAGACATCCTCAGGTATGGCTGCTTTCCACTTAGATGTCGATTTGATGTGTTCATAGGAGTTGACAACCACCTCCACAGCTCTGGGGTGGGAATGACAAGCTTGTAGCACCTGCAGGCAGGATGCATGGAGACCATGAGTACCACCAGGGAGCTGGGGCTAGCCTGGGTGCTTGGCACTGCACAACGGCAAACTGAGACACAGCCAAACAATTGTGAGAGGATAAAGTTGGAGATGCAAAAGACACAGGGCCCCTCCACACCTTACTGCAAGCACAGTAAGGAACTCCAGGCTCATCCACAGTTTAAGACCATACAGAAATGCTACCTTAGATCTCCACAGCTGTCTAGATGGGGTGGGCTTTATCACCCAGATCTTGTTCATAGCTGGGTTGAGTGACTCAACACCAGGCAAAGCCATGCACAAAAATTCTTGCTTCAGCACATGCAGCTCATGAACACAGAAAAACCCCATCATATGAATCAAAAATGCATAGTTAAAGAAAAAAATTAAAATATGACCAGAAGAAACAGTTCAGAAGTAAGGCTTTCAAGCCACACAAGGCACCTGACACAACTGTTTTTCCCAGTGATTTTAGCTCAACAGGAAAAAAACCCCAGTCTATTGTCACTCATATGCAGGGGATAACATTGCATTCACCCAGTTTTGTCCCATGCAGTCTCCAGGTTTCACAAACAAAACTGCAGAACATCCCTCTGGGATAAATAACCTACATTTTTACAGATGGGCAAATGATAGTTTGGAAGAGAGACTCACTTCATGCAATAGGATGCAGGAAGAGGAGATTTCAGACATTGCTCTCAAATACCCTCTAGGAGACTAAGCATTGTTCTGCTACAGACAGAACCTGCTCATCCTGGGCTCAGGAAGGCACAATTAAAAAAAAAATTGGCATTTTATTCAAAGGCTTCTGGTTGCTTGGCTTGTTAAAATTTACATATACAGTTGGGGAACTGTACACTGTTGCTTAGGGTACTGAGATGAGAGAGAATAGGTTCTGACTTCAGCAAGCTTAGTTAGTACTCTGATATAACAGGACTCTTAGGTACTCCTGTCAGTGTCATGGGCTTTGCAGGTGTTTAAAAACTTTTTAGGATGGATCCTGCAATACTTTTTTCTTTTTTTTTTTTTTCTTTAATTTTTTTTTTTTTTTTTCTTTAATTTTTTTTTTTTTTGTCATCAGCTATGAGCCCAGGCCCAGCACCTCTCCTTAATTCTCAAATTTCCTGGGAATAATCCAAAACTTTATTGAGAAGCATTTCATTTTGAATAGATTTGAGTAGATTTTAAAATGTCAGATGTGACAAACTGAATCAAGTGGTCTCATTGCTAATCCTTGGTGGAGACCACAAAATATGCATTTCATATAACTCAGTTAAACCTGTATGAAGCCATTGGTTTGACAAAGGGATGTGAGTTTTCTGAAATGGGAAAGTGAATCTGCTCTGAAAAACTAGGCTTCAATCAGCGTTTAGAGTTTGGCATTTCAGGTTGGTTAAGAGCAAAAATTAGATGTGTGTCTGGTTTCTGGTACAGGCAACTGTAATTTCACTGCAGTTAAGTGATACCACTCTTACAGCAGGTCATCTCACAATGTTTTAGGTATTCTGGGCCCACACTGACAGGACTCCTGCAAATTCAGATAGCACTAAATCCTGAGGTTTGGATCTCTCATCCCATTCCTGTTCAAGACACCACCTCTCTCCATACCCCTACTGTATGAAGACAACCTTATGGAACTGCAGAGGGTATATCCTAGCTGCTCCATGATTCAGTAGCAGCTGGTAGCAGATGTCTGGCTGAGCAGCTGGCCGCACAGATGTCACTTTTATGATGTACTGTAGGGGTGCACAGCCATTGACATCCATGATGTTTGCTTCTGCTCCTGCCTCCAGCAGCATATGCAGCAGGACGTGATCACAGTTCCAGGCAGCTTTGTGGAGTGGTGATTTGAAATCCTCATCACGAGCATTCACTTCAGCTTTATAGTCTAGGAGCATCCGACAGATGAGGTGGTGATCCTGGCTGTATATCTGATCTTTATAGTGGAGGGCCCAGTAGGCTGCACAGGCCAGGGGAGTCTCCATGTAGGCATTGAGAGCATCCACCTGTGCTCCCTGTTCCACATAAAAGGCCACAAGCTCTGGGACACCCAAACGTGCAACGACGTGCAGAGGAGTCTCCTCATCTTTGTTGTTTGTTCTTATGTTCACATTTGCTCCTGCCAAAGAAAGATGATGGGGGAAATGATGGCAATGAAACACTTGTTTGGCCATCTCTCTGTATGGGCCCTTCTTCCCAAGGAAAAGGTCAGGGTGGGCAGCTGGCATGAAAGATGTGTAAATGCAAACAGCATGGATCCTGCATTAGTTAAGTCTCCAGGGAAACGCTTAGAAACTCAAGGTTCTTGGATCCAGCTTCAGATGTGGTATGCTGGCCCCAAGCTGGAAGACCTTATCTGATCATTCTATTTCAGAGCAGCATGCAAGCCCAGATTTCCGTGTAAAATGCCTTTTCCTATAAATTGAGAACTGGTGGAGAAAGGAGAGCATTACTCCTGCTCCAGAGAGCAGCCCTGCTCCGCTCTGTACCCTGAAAACACTCTCTGCAGCACCTCGTTAAGGCGAGCCTGGATGAAAGGACATTTCATATCAGATCCGGGGTATTAAAGATACCATATATTAAAGAAGCATTGCCAGGGTCCCCGGTGGAGGGTCGGGATGCCGGTTCCAAAGCGCTGCGGAGCGGGTCCCGCAGCTGGAGCAAGAGCACCATCTGCCGAGCGGCGAGCCTGCACGGCGGGGACAGCGGGCTCCGAGCCGCCTCCGGGCTGCAAAACCCGGCTGCTAATGCTGCTAAGCCCTGCTGGGTGTTAGTCGTGTTCCATGTCCCTGAGGCGGCACCAAGGCAATCCAAGTTTGGAGTGGTAACCAAACGTGGGATCAGCACGGCTTGCCCTGCCGCCCCAGCCAGAGGGGAATAAACTGCAGTGACCTGGATGGAGCCCAAGGGACACCACTGAGCGGGGACGGCAGGTGAGAGATGCAGCTCGGAAACTGCGGCAGGGACATTATCTGACACCCTGGCTTCAGCTCTTGCAGGGCGCTGCTCTGGGAAAGTGCACACCCGGCACGGTTTGCTCCAGACCTTTCCCATTCTATTTGGAGCATCAGCATTCAGCTCATATGGAAATCAGAGTTTAAAGGGTGCTTTGGGAGGAAGGGTGGCTTTTAAAGTACTATTATGCTGTTTTTGACAGGTGGGTGGAGAAAGCCTGCAGATTACATCCTTTCACTTGCATTCATCCTATACTGTGTTTCATAAGAGTACATTTGACTTTTAAGCTTTTCTGTGCTAGCAAATTCAACTCCTGCTGACAGGACTGTTTGCTCTGGGCAGGGTACAACTGGCAGCATTTATTTTCCTTTCTACCAAACAAAATAATATGTATCTTTCCAGCAGAAGAAAAGCAATGTTGTTATTCATTTATGACTGCAGATTGTCTTGCCCACAGAGCATGGACTTTGCACTTGGGCTCTGAATCTCAGGGAAAGCTTTCAATAACAACACATGTAACAAAACCAACCCAAAATCATTTGTATTGCCATGGCACAGTGTGATAAACAGAGGAGTCTCTCTGTAACTAAAGACTTGAACTGTGTTTCTCTTACTGTGTCCTGTGTCAGTACCCTTCTGTTCAGAAAATAGCGTGTGACAAATATGTTTATGGAAGAATTACATCTATTCATATCCTCATTTGTTGCAGACAACCTGCAGCATCATGTACCTTACTCTGGGAAAACAAAAATCTTATATAATGCTCTTTTTTTTCCTCCAGGCATGAGCTTGGCTGCATCCATGACAAATGAAAAGACAATATGAAAAACTGCATCAAATTTTTCAAGGCCAGATCTCAAAAAACAAGTGGTTGGAAAAATTTTACTTATGTCCAGGAAATTTGAACAAGAAAGAAGATGAGGGGTACCCTTTCATGTGAAAATAGCTCAACAGTAAGCCTAGATGAATAAGACAGAAAAAACCCCAAGAGAAATAGAAACTCTGTGATTCAGAAGAGCTCTGCTGCTGATGGACTGATTGGGCAGTGGACTGGAGGCACTGAAATGGGAAACAATCTTGGAGTAAGGACCAGTGGCAAATGAATGGAAAATATAAATGAGGTGAGGAAACAGAATGGGAGGAATTTCCTCTGATCAAAGTGATGAGGACAAGGGGTCTGAGATGAAGACATGAGTCACCTGTGGGTGGAAGGGATAAATAGACATCTACTTTGAAAAGTTGCCTCCTAAGAGAAAGGCCAGGCCAGGCCCACCATCTTTGTCCATGCCATGAGAGGTGCTCCAGAGCTTTACCTTACCTCTCCAAAGCAGCTGCTGGGCACAAGGCATGGAGGTTCGTGTTGTACAGAAGTGCAGGGGCGCCTGCCCGCTCATAGAAAAGCAGTTCAGCTTAGCTCCGTGGTTGCAAAGGATCTTGAGACACTCAACATTTGCCATTTCACAGGCTATGTGGATGGCAGCTTTTCCATTGGGCCGGCAGTTGATTGTAGCTTTGTGATTGAGGAGGACCAAAAGACTCTCCAGATGTCCATACATGACAGCTAGATGAAGTCCAGTTGCCCAAGATATTTTTAATTTGTAGCTGGGAAGCCAGTACCCTGTACAAAGTGAGAATATGTTACCAGTCTTGGTAAAGACTTTTCTTTGGACTATTCACCTACTGAGAATAATTGAAGGGGAAGAAAGGGTTGGAGTTTTAATGTAATTTACTGTAATTTCACCAGCATAATGCACACAAAGTTCTCTCAAGCATAACTTCATTAAGCACTGTTACTATGTGTGCTGAATAGCCTGCCTTTTGGGAAGAAAATTCCCATGTATATGTACTCCAAAAGAAGCTATTAGACTTTTTTGTGACTGGTATAGATTAAACAAAAAGAGAAAAACAACAAACAACAACAACAACAAAAAATTGCTTAGAGAGTTTGAAATGCCACCAGCTAAAAAATATGGGGGAAGTGGAATCTCCAGCCTGCCAATAGCTGAACAAAGGTGACATTGGAATGAGACAACAGCATTTACTTAGGACAGTGACTCAACAGACAGCTCATCCTACTGTTTCTGTGTGGGAGATGGCAGGATCTTGCATGTCAGGGGCTGGATTCAGACCTCCAGGGATGCATTGCACATAGATGACCCTTGGCAATACAGCTGCAGCTGTGTCAGGGACCTCCTGCCAACTACTGCCCTGAGGAGCACAGAGTGAGGAGATTGGATGCTGATGTAAGTTAGGCTGAAGAGCCAAATAGAAGCAGTGACACCTTAGCATGAAATTTGGCTGCAAAACGTTTGGATTTTTCTCAGAAAACGTCACAATGATTTTTTTCTTTTGTTTATTTACAAACAGGTGTAAGGCCAAATAACACATAAATACTTGTTCCCAAGTCAGGACTATATGCTTAATGACTGCACAGACACAGCCTCAGAAGTGATTACTATCACCACTTGTTTGAGAAAAGTAAAACATCATAATGATGTGCAGAAGGGCAAGAGAAGTCTAAATATGTTTTTTTATATATAGTACCTGCATCTTAGCTAGAATGTGACTATAAAATTCTCTGAGTTTGATTTATCTATTTCTCCTTGGACAATTGCCTGGTTGAAATCTGTTATCATGTGGAAAACACACACAAAAAAATTAGAGACATATAGAGAGGTCAAATTAATTCAAACCTTCTTTTTTTAGTCTCTAGTTTAATGCAGTTTTTCAACACTAATGTCACATATATACAGTTTTTACAGTATTCATTAGGTACAAGCAGGAAGGAAACAAAGTGCTGGTGACAGGGAGAAATGGATTCAAATTCTTCTTCCCTCTTAGATAAATTACAAGTATATTTTCAGATAGGGGCAAGAAACTGCAGACCATGACATCTACTCTAGGACCAAATTTTTGGGACTGCCAAACCCAGTTCTCAAGGAACCCACACTGTAAATGGCAAGAGCAGCAGCCCTGAGGCCCCAGCATGCCCGAGCAGGGTGACAGCCTCCTCTGAGGACACTCAACCTGCTGACTGTGCAGCTTACACTGGCAACTCTGTTAGGGCAACCTTCTCATCATAAACCCTCAAACCAGGCACAGACAAGGTGGGCTGTATCCCAAAGTCTCTGCATATAGCAGAGCAAGCTTCTTAAATCCCCTCCCTGTCCAACTGCACGTGTAGTGTTCCCCCTTGTTACCGGTGAGCTGTGAGGCACTTCCAGCTTATCCCACAAAGGGCTGGCTTTCCCATTTATGGCCAGATATAAGCAATAAATTATACATTAACAGCAGGAAAGTGATATTAAATGCCAGGTTATCACTTCTTTATAGCCACAATTCTCCTGCCTGAGTCCACAATATATTTCTGTTGCCTGTGCTGCTTGCAGGTGAGTTGTGCTCAGACATTCCCAGGGAAAATCTCCCATATCCTCTGCCCAAACCTGTCGGCATCTCCGAGCTCAGAGGGACAGGGACAGACGCTGAGCTGGAAGCAGATGTGGGGCCCATGGGAAACCTCATTCAGCTTACTTGTTTCTTTGGTTAGTAACATAAAAAACCCATGGTGCAAGCAACATCAGCATCTTTGAGAGCTCTCATCCTCTATGTAAGAGAGGACGAAAAGTCACTCTGTCACCCTTGACATCTCTTTTCCACTTCATCACTAAGGGCTATGGCAAGGCTCAGACTGTCAGAATGGTGGGGTGGTAAATTTTTCTCTCCCCTTCATCCTCAAGGAAATCCCCCTTTCATACTCGTATTTCACAGTTATCTATCAGAACAAAATTAAAATTTACACAAAAGTTGATAGAAGTGTTTCCCGCCTTTCAGAAAAAATTAATACAATACTATGATTTAGGCCATAAGGATACATTTTCCTCTGTCTCTACTTTTTGGAAAACAGAATTCTGCAAAATAGAGTAGTTAATGATTGCAGTCAATTGATCTGTGATTAATAATCTTTTCATTAATCTTGTAGTCTCAAACCACAATCAGATTGCATTTTAGTCTGCTGAGGACAAAAGAAGATAAACTCAGCACAGTGTAGCTTAGTTCATACACTGTCCCTGGGGGAAGTACATCATGACTGTACCATCCCCACCCTGAAGAAATCAAAAGAGCAGGAACCAATCATTAAAGAAGGGGTAAACACAGGAAAAGAGAAGAGGTGAGATAGTCCCTTCTTTTTGCCACAGAAGAGAAAGTGCACTTGCTGTGCTGCTGCTTTCGGAGGTGTTTATCTCCACATACGATTAACTTCTGGCAGAGACTGATCATTACTGCTTTCTAAATACAGAAGAAGAGTCTGTTGGCAAGTAGGTCATGAAGTACGTGGATTTTAGCAAAGAGCAAACTTGGTTTTTTGCTTCAAGTTGTAAGGTTTTGGAAGCTCTTTCAGTGTCTGGCTGGGAAATGGTTTGGGTTTTCTACACTCTAAAACAGATGCTGTGTTGATTGTTCTGGTTGTTTTTTTCCAGATTATTTTTCTGTTTTGATAAACTAGCACATCCTCATTTTCTGTCATTTGTACAAATAAACCTTCTCCCATCCAGCAACATCCAAGGTCCACAGTATTTCCTTAGTTCCCTTGAGCTACGGAGAATCCACTTTACTTCCATTGAAAATAGAAGACAGGGAATATTTTATGTTTCTAAATAGTCTTTATATGTGAATGGATTAATGCAAGAAATGTATACTCCCCCTTTTAGCCTGCATGTGTCTATTCTGGGATTTGCACCCGAGTTCTCTGTGAGGAAATGGCAAAGGGCTCCTCTTCCTGGAGTCTCCTGCAGCTGCAGCACCGAGGCTCAGGCTGGGCTCTGGCCTGCCCTTCACCAAGCCCACACAGCTGATAAGCTCCCCTGCTACAGTGGCCCTGGCCATGTGAGCCTGCTGAGACAGTACTGCCTGTGGATCAGCTTCTGCTGCAGCTTCAGAAGAGATAAAAGGCCACAGCTCCTTGAAAATCACTGAAACCCCTCTACTTCCTGTCTGGTGAATGCTGCCACATTTACCTTGTTTGTAGGATGCCAGAATCAGGTTTTCATCTTCCACTTCAAACACTGTGTCCACGTCTATTTTCTTTTGGCTCAAGAGCTCTTCCAGTGTTTCAAAGGCATTGGACTTCAGGGCTTCGAGGAAAGCTTTTTTCACCAACTTAGCAGCTGCAGCTCGAGTAATTTTCCCCTCTGTGTTCTCTCCCTCTCTGTATGTCTCCTCCAAATCCATTTCCAAATGTATCTGTTTGTGCTGTGAAGAGGGGCACACTGAGGTCCCTACAGCACAGTTGCATGCTGAAGTTTCTGAAGACCAGAAGGTAATTTTATCACTCAGTCATGCTGATCTGCTTGTTCTATTTATATGAGGAGCATTTCGGGCATCGAAATGCCACGCTTAGATATCACCACGCTCTTTTGATGAAAGTGAGGACAGACACACTGGCAGTTAAAACAAAATAAGAGTTATCTCCATGGGCTTCATACACATTAAGCTTCATTAACCAGCTGATTACCTTCTGGTCCTGCCCATACACTTACATTAAAAGACACTAGTTCTGGGTGTTTTTTTCTCAGCTGGAGAAGCACCCACACTCCCTTTCAGAGTTGCCATGGCTGATTATTGGCTGCAGTGGGATAGGATGCTTTGCCTGCAGATGACTTTTAACTAGTGCAATTCAGGGGAAAAAAAAAATCTAAAAAATCTGCAAGGCGCTCTCCATGTGGGAGGTAACCCACTCTTCTCCAGGACAGCATCCTGCTTGCTGGTGCTGAGTTCAGGGGAAACAGGCAGTTCTCCTTGGAAGGAGAAATGCTGGCACAAGGGGCCTGCAGGGCTGTACAGCTGCATCATGGGGTGGGGGATCTCATACATTGCAGGGGGTTTGTGTGTGAATTGACTCAGCTGCAAGCACAGGAGGCTTCATGAGTCCATAGGCTCTTCTTCCCCTGCTCACCCTTCATCTAAATTCAGAAGTTCTCTCTCACAAGCCCATCACCCACTGAACACTGCCCCCTCCCTGCTTTTTCCTGCAGTCTTTGCCAGCCCCATTCCTATACTGACAGCAGTTAGAGGATGAAAACCCACACGTAGCTAGCATGAGTTGCTGCCATGCATCACCTAGAAGTGGTTCACACCTGCACCCACCTGGGCTTCTGGGTGAGACCATAGCTAGAAGGACACTATTTACCCTTGATTTAAATCACCCAGCAAAGCAGACACCGCCACATACACCATTATAAAGCAATCTTCATATTTCTCCTTCCTGTGAGTTTGGCTGCCAGCTGGGCTGATGGAGAGATGTGAGCCAGGTGACAGTGGAAGTCAGAGCAGCCTCTCTGCTCGAAGGGTTTCCAGGGGCCAGGTTCCTCGGGCAGCCCTATCAGCACCTGCAGGACCCCTGTCCATGGGACTGCTCACCAGCTGTCTCCTACAACCTGTGCTCAGCAAAGGTGGTACCAGACAGCAGTTCATATTTGTGAGTTCCTTCTACCTGTGTACTTCCAAATGAAAAATGCTTTACAAAAACTAATTCCCCAAGGTAATGTACATTGTAATAGACACAAGGGGAAGGAAAATGTCTTACCCTGGTGCTATAGGTCCCAGGGAGCTCATCTGTGTCTTTTGAGGCTTAAGAGCAAAGTCAGCATTAGGCTCTTCATACCTTTACATTCCCTCCTGCAGAACCTCCTGCTTACTTTGTTACTTTCAGTAGTGGCTGACTTCAGGCTTTAAAAAAAGTGTACCAGCTTCTCTGGTATGAGGAGAGGAACAGGATGTGAACTCCAGATCTTACAGGCTTCTTGCTACCTGCAACTTTATTTTTGAACCATTATATTCCTGGAAAGTCATGGATGCACAAAGCACGGATATCTGGCTGCAATCAGTTGTCCACCTCAGCTACACTTTCAATTTGGAGTTGATTAGCTTTTTATCTATCATCTTTCATAAATGGTATTACATGACAGGAGGATGTTCAATCTGGCTGAAAGGCTTGTGCTGGGACATCTCCATGCCTCTTTGCTGCTCAAAGGTTGGCATGCACGAGCACATTGCTGTAACAGATATTGCACATCTGCTGATCCATCCTGCTTGCTCTTGGTTGACAAGCAAGGTGAAGTAATTTGTGCTGGCTTGGCCCACAGTGAAAGAGAAGGCTGCTTTAAAAATTACCTTACATTTGTCATGGTCCAAGAGTATGCACAGGAAGGAACAGCACCTCAGACCAGGTTATGCATTACAACTTGCTCACCTTCAGCAATTTGTGTGGCCCTGCTCTGACTCCCACAGAAATTTTTCTTAACATCATTAAGTTTAAAAGAGAGAAAAGAAGCAATTATACATATGTATATAGCTTATATAGATACCTATGTGGCCTTACTAGTTAGTGTTTTCCTGTAAGCAGGACTTGGGTTCAACGTTGAAAAAATTTATTCATATGCATGGTTTCAGTACAATTACACAAGAATAAGGAAATGTTTCTGTATTTAGCATTGACAAACAATCATAAAAAGATAGTCTTTCTAAAGCATGACATAATTTTTTATTAATTTGCCTGAAGAATAGTCAAAACATATTGAAGAATACGTAAATGCTGTAAGACATGGGGGGAAAAAAGGGACCCGTTTTTACTATATATTTGTATTCCTGTTGTCTGTACGATTTCCTGCAGAGTTCTCCCACACCATACCACAAGGTGGCAGTTTGATTTTGAAAGTCAGCACCGATGTCACCCAATCCCCAGCTCTGCCAAATACTCTGAACATTGTACTGTGAAACAATAGCTCATCCCTTGGTTAAACAAGTGGCAGCTACAGTATTTACCATTTTTATAAGTTAGACTTGAGGCTACTTTCATGGGTGCTGTGCATTCACATACTGTGCCCAGTAAAAAAACGTGGTTTCCACATTTAGGATCAATTGTCTAAATTACAGAAATAATGCAAAGGCACATTTTTTTCCAGGGAGACAACTCCTTCCCCCAACCCTTCCTTGTGCTCCACTCAGTGCCACACAGGACAGGACGAACCACAGGCACACAAACACCTGCACCTCGGGGGACAGGCTGGATCTGCCCCTCAAAAGTGGTTACAGCAGCTCATACATAGCAGGTGTGAAGGTTACACAGCAAACAAGAGCACAGCAGACAACCTCTTGAGGTGCACTCTGCTTCCCACTTCAGGTGATGAGGTCTTTGTCCCTGGCCTTAGCTGGGCTGCTGGGGTCCCTCTCCATCAGCATTACCACAGGCTTATTCTGAAGTTCACTGAAGTCAAGGGAATATTTCCACTGCTTTCAGTGGGTCATGTCCTTTATCAGGTTGGGCACCAAGCAGCTGAGCTGAGCAGGGGATAGCTGCCTGGAGGTGAGTGTGTGAGCACCATTGGGGTGGTGTTATGAGAAGGATGACGGCACAAGAGTGTGAATGAAAATCAGAGCTGGGACTGCTCATAAGAAGATAAAGACAGGCTTAAGCAGAGAATGACAAAAGACATACTGCCAGACTGTGCAGAGCACGATTCCTGAGGAGCCAGCACCCCTTCACTGACACTTGCTGATGTAGAGCAGTAATCTGTTGGCAGCCACATAATTCACAGAAGTGCTGGGAACAGCTTGAAGGACTCCTGAACTCTATGCTGGAGCAGGCAGGAAGCCAGCAAAAGGAGAAATGCTCCCAAAGAATGGTGGTGATGCAAGCAGAAGCATGGGGCTGCTCCAAGTTGTGATGGTGAACATCCTGGCAGTCCCTTGGCAGTCCTCTGGCAGTCCTGGCCAGCCAGCCTCTCCTGTAGCAACCCTGTTCCTGTGGCAGCGCCACAGGGTGTGGAGAGCAGCAGTGGATGCAGGGTCACCCACACAGGTGGTGTCACAAAGGTTCTCCTCTGCCCAGCTGCAGAGGGAGCTGCCCTGCAGCAGTGTCCCAGCACGCCTGGCCAGGGAGGTTGGTGGCCAGCTAATGGGGGTCACTTCAACAGCAGGAGCACACCTCATGTTCTGCTCTGGAGCCTTACATACTAAGGAGGGAAATGCACTGGATGTCAGATCTGTGGGCCTGAAGCAAAAAGCAGATCCTTGAGTTAATCCCACACTTTGATCTCTTCTGAACAGCTCATGCTTGTAGAAATGCTGTTGCAGTAGTGATCACAACCCCTCACTCTGCCCTAGCCTTTTCAGCATCTCAGCATCAGACCAAGTCTGACTCAGTGGGCAATATTACCTCGTATATCCCTTGTGCTGCCAAGTGTATCCCTTGTTTCTTGTCAGCTCTTCGCTCCCAAACTGGATTAAGCCCAGCTCTCTTATTCATCTAGCACATTTTTTTCCTAATATTAATATTGATTTTTTTTTTTCACTGCTGCACATCTTTCTGCCAGCTTTAGCCATCATTATATTTTATCTGATTTTCTTTTTCCAGGATGCTGACTCTGGGTGTGAAGATTACATAAATCATCCCCATGCTTCTTGCTTTATTTCTTATTAGGACAAAAGCACTTTAGCTCTGCCAGGTGCAAACTATCTTCTTCAGGTGCTCAGCTGTAAATCATCTTCTGAGAAAAATCATCTCTGTAAATTCATCTCTGTGACTGGTTAACCTGAAACCTTCTTAGTATCATTAGTTTTGAATCCTCTGTTTGTTCTTTGTTATATTATTTCACTTTTGTTCTCATTTGCAAGGGATGGAAATGGTCTCAGATACCGAAAGGCATTTAGACATAAACTTCCCAAGTCAGTGAAATACAGCTCCTAGGAACTGGGAACCTGTGTGCCCAGGAGAGCTGGGACCTTGCAGCTTTATTTTCAGTAAAGCAAGAGTCATTTAGAAATATGGAGCAACTGATGAGCTTAAGCCTTAAGGTACACACATGTTACAAAATCAAAAGCTGATGGAAAAAATCCAGATTTTTGTTCTTCTGGAGGTTCTTGTCTTCATGGTGAAAACTTAGCCCACCCTTCCACAGTTATTTTTTTATTTTTATGCCTGTTCTTTCCATCTTCAGCTTCCCCAGTGGAACCCCCAGGGATCCATTTCCATTGTTCCAGTTCCTGCTATCAGTGTATTTATTAGCATGTTCAGAAATTCAGAGTTGGATTAGCCATTGTTATTGGAGGGGTGGTGTTAAATTTAGGGTATTTTACATTAAAGAATAGTCTTTCAAAAACTCCTACTAAGATAATTATTAGTTTATTGGCCTATAAAAGGTATGTGCAAAATGCATTTGTTTTACAAAACCATTATAAGAAATACCATGGATACCAAACCAGAATGCTTGAAGGTTCTCTTTGGTTCAAAGGGCATAAGTG